AAGCGTCTTTACATTTACGTATGGAATCGTTCTGAAACGTGGCAGCAGAGCGCAACGGATAGGGAGCGGGTTTCTTAGGCGGGACGTCGTAGGATCGGTTCTGGGGCAGGTTCCTTTTTTGCATTTGTCCAAGAACATAGCCGACAAAGCTTCTAACATCTCTGCTCGCCTGCACTACCCTACAAGGGAACCTGCAATCAGTTTTTTTTTCGAAAGTGTAGACCCATTGCGGCCTGAAAGAGTGCTTCTGCTTGTACCCCTCGTAACACGTGTCACAAGGGTTTTTGTAATGAAATATCATCATATTCATGTTCAGCGGGTCGAATTACCCCGGACAAGTTTCTGGCCGAATCTGATTTTTCGACCTCATCTGGAAAAATGTGCGATATTCCATGAGTAATTAGCAGCAGATTGGAGCTCACATACCATCGATGACTGATCTTGGAATGGGATTTCCTCCCGATAGTCAAGAAAATGGTGCAGACGGCACAAATAAGTAAGCCAGCTACTGTTGTTTGCGAAAAGACATGACTGAAGAGTTATTTCAGTTCGAAGACCAGTCATCACCAGTATGCTAGTCATAGTATCGCTGTTAGCTATCAGTCAGCCATGACTATCCATACCCCATTTTTTCGAAGTTGAGTCAGAAGCTCAGATTTCGCTAAGGTGACGTCCCTAGGGTTATTTGACCCCTGAACACGAATATGATACCTATTTTGCGCGAAGAGCGCTGTGAGTCGCGCTACAGGTGCCAACGCTTCGGCGCCAGCGCGCCCGTAAGAAGAAAAACAGTAAAGAAAAACCTCAATAACTCCGCTCAGAGAATCGTTCTGCAAATTCTGAAGGCAGTTCTGAGTTCAGCGTGTAAAGATGAGCAGCGAGTGCTATGTGGCATTCTCATCTGCAAATGGCAGGCTGACCTCGTTGACCTTTCCTGGTAAGCTCACTCACTGCGGCAAGCCGTTGCGACAACGGAGCAGCGGAGGTAATGGAAGATCGGGCGCCTGCGGTGTTACTACCCTCTCCCACCAAGTTCTGTGCACTTTGGTCTGGAACGACTGGCCGCGCTGCAGCAGCTCAGACACATTCATCCCCGACTACAATAAGCTCAGCTCTCATGAACCCTGGTTCTTACTAATGGTAACCAGTGTTCGATGGGAGGTGAGTATGCCGTGTTTGTCTTTAAGGGATTTACTCGACAGAGCGTTTAACCCGTTTGTGTTGTTGGTTGACCTGATCGAAGACTAATTTCGCAGACGTCGAGCAGCTTAGGTATGTACGTCATCTGCACGAATGGACTCGGAAAGGTGCACTACTCTCCCATCTCTGCTCTGCAGAAGGACCTGACCTCCGATGCTTTGCTACTGCACAGGGCCCAAGGTACGAGTCAGAGGCGTTCTCATTTTTTTAAGATTCCTTTTTACTGTGCTTACTGTGTGTACTGGATGTTGCCTCTAACCCTCAACTGAGATTATTTACAGTTGCACTTTTTTATTGTATCCACAACTTTCCAGATGTTTTTTTACGTGAAAGCCTCTTCGGCGTCATTCTAGTCAGTCATGAGCCGTGCGATTGCTGTGAAGTATGAATGAGCTAATTTGCACGAAAGTCAAAGCTATTTCAGGTCCCTGCACATGCGATTTCCCTATTCAGCACGTCATGGGATACCGTTAGCTTGTGTTCATCCTTTTTATTTGAATCTTACTCTTTCTCAATAACCGAGACCGAACATTTTTCTCTAAATAAAGCGGAGCCTTTTTCGAACCAAATAGGACACTTCGAACCAAACAGGACACGTCCCTTACATTAGGCGGTTCATTAACTAGACCACACTAGGCACTGCTGTTAGCCCCGCCCAGCACCACGCCCACTTCTCATTGTGGTCTGTTCCTCTGACGTTTTGCACTTTTGCTATTTCGCCCAAACATTTTACCTGAAAAGGATCATTACTGGGACAGGTACTACTCCGCCCAGTTTTCAATTAAGTTATCGCAAGTTTTCGGTTCTAACTTTTTTCGACGTCGATCTTTCCAAATTGCTTCTCCTTGATACGAATGTACTCACAGATAGACACAGGCAGCTATAAACAGGCTCACTAAGCCCAGTCACTCTGACCACGGCCACTTTTGCTGCAGAATTTCAATCTTTTCCTCAGGAATTTTGCCTTTTAGGGCTGTAAGAGGTTTCTCCGCCCGCCGTCAGGAACCCCGCCACTCTGCAGAAACTCCGCCCATTTTTCAAAGTGATACAGATCGGCAGGCTAGAGTACGAACTAAACAGGCAGATTACGGTCTCTATCATCACCTGGAAGAATAACCAGGGAAAATTCGTTCCAAGTGATGAGCAAGACCATGCCTTGCCAGTTCGGACTCTAGCCTGCCATTTGGAACATTTTTCGAAAAGGGATGGAACTTCTCGGAGGTGAGCGGGTGACTGAGGCAAGGCTTGCAGCATTCCCTAACGCGGCTTAGTTGACAACTGCTGCTGTAGGGAGTGTATGATTTGGTCTAAAAAATCCAATTTGAAATGAAAATGTTATACAAGTGGTCACCTCCACTCCGGAACTCTGAAACTTCAGCGTTACCCTCAGCACCGAGTGAGCATGAGTGCTGTCCCTATGAGCATGTGTTGTAGATGAACCATTTTGTGCTACTCTTACTAAGAGCAAGCCAATTTCCTTAAAAGCTGAAGTGAAGATACTCGCGTCAAGTATAGAGTGAGGTACGTAAGGTACCAACAGTAATCAAACAGTGCAGTTGACGCCGAAATTATCATTGGTTTATCTTCGCTTTCCGGTAAATACGGTGCAATGCATTAGTTGTCGCCTAAGTTTTGGAATCTGGTTTTGGCGATTTTGAAAACGCTTCATTTTCTGATTCTAACGACTTCTCACGTTTTTCGCGAGGTTTCTTGGTGGGGGCGGTGGGCGGCAGTTGGCACAGATGTCGGCGCCTGTCAGCTGTGGCTGGCACGCCCTCATGGTGTGTGATAACCCCTCCATCGGCCAGAAAATCTCGTAAACGCCATCAGTACTGTTCTTTCTGCTCCCACATCTCCTCCGAACCCACCCCAAGTCGATCGATAATTCATCAAATGGAAGCGAAGCGAAAGTGCGCCAGTGCTAGCAAGGAGATGATGGAGCATAATTTTATGTGCTTTCCTAAATTGTATCGTCAACTACATTCAGTCCCTTTTTTGAAAGTGTTGTACGTATGATAGATACTTCTGTCTTGGTCTCGAAGTGTTTTCATCGATTAGCTTGTTATGAAAAGTTAGCACTCCCTCCGTTTATTATTCGCGATCCGATGTTGTTCTTTTGTTTTGAAGTGCCTAGTGCAAACTCATATGCTGTTTATCAGGAGCTGACTAACTTCTCTTGACGACATGAGCGACAGAATTTCGTACAGTTTTACTGATGGTTTTTTTGTCATTCGAGTCTCCGAAGTTGTTTCAGTGGATGAGTCACTGTTCCGCCTGCTTCGTGCCTAATGTTTGCGAAATGATGCTATCTTTTCGGAGGTATTGCGCCGCTCCACTGCCCTTCTTTCAATTCGTTCATCTTTTCGAATGTTTAGTTTCGAAAGGTTATATTCTACGAACGCTGCCAATTCAGCAGTTTTGGCTCTGAAACGAAAGAGAAACGTCCTCAGTTGTACTGCCTTTAGCTGTTCTGGAGACCGCATAAAATAGTCCACGAGCGTCGGAGGTTTCCGAAATTTTATCTCCATTCTCACCAGGGTACATCATGGTGATATGTGCAATAGCGCTGCCAGTGCAACCCTCAAATCCTCCCTGTGGAATGACCCTTCCCCCGAATTTCCTCGTTTAGAACGACCGCCCCTCAACCCGAATTGTTTCCTCTGGCAAGGCCTTCCTTCCCCATCCCACCTGCCATCTTCCTAAGTTTTCCCCAGCTTCCTATCACATTTCGAAGTTTCCAGGGATTTTTTCCCTGATCTCCCCAAGAAACTGCCGTCAGGTATGGGGGGGGGGGAGGGGGAAGACGTCGCAAACTAGGCCCTGAAACCACTATCGAAAAGAATGACTGTATAGTGATTGTGGTGCCGTCAACTATGCAGGGTTATATAACACATGTGAAAGTGGAGAAGTCGGGAAAAGTCAACAACCGAGAAGATCGCTTGCGGTTTGAAAGAGTTTCTCTCACCCGCCCCACCTCCCAGCGATCAGGTGCGGCGCCCTGATGGGACTCTTCCAACCTTGTTGTACCCTGGTTCCAGCTTTCTCCTCAGCTTTTCATTCGGTTACCTGCATTCGAAGCAGGGCACATTCCGTCGTTGGGGAAAATTTTTGCAGAATACGACCGTCCTCCTTTCCTCCTTCCCCTCCCCCTCCCCCTCCCCAGCCCTCCAGCTCTCCTCCTTCATTACGATAGCCCGCATGAAACGGGAAAGCCCGGAAGAGTCAACAACCGCAAGTTTTTTTCGCAACTCGGGAAGTTTGTTTCGGGGCAATTACGCTCCCTCAACGACGATCATATCCACCCAGCTCTCCCCATTGGAGTTGTCGTTGAAATGTGAATAGTGCGCTTGGAACGGAAAAAGTCGATTACCGAAAAATTCTCTTAGACCAGCTAGTACCCCCCCCCCCCACTCCCTACACCGACTGAAGACGACCCCTGCTGGGGATTCCCCAATGTATAATGTGCCCTGGTTCAGAGTGTAGCTCATGAAGCTGGTTTGAGTTCTTTCTAGGTTTATGCTGAGTTTGAACAGATAGAAATGAGCATGAACTCCAGTCTAGGTTTTAGGTTTATGTGTTGTTCGGGTGTTCGGTGAATTCTAACAAAACTTGAGACCGTGTTCATCATTTCCCAGTTCTTTTGCTGCATTCTCGATCTTTCTGAATTGAGACTGTTTTGTCTGCATCACGTGCATTCCAATTCTGCCATATATTCACTGTGTAGTCGTTGAAATTCTGTTTTTCTACTCTTTCAGTTCCACTTGATGATCTTTTAAGTACTTGTTCTTTCACTTATAGATATGAGTGCAAAGAAATGTGCTCGCGAGGAATGCGGGAAGACAGTGTATCCCATAGAAGAACTTAAGTGCCTAGATAAAGTTGGTTTCACTCTTTTGTGTCGAATATTTTTTACATGTTTTTTTTTAGTTTTTTTTTTCGTAAAATGGGCTGATTTTAGGTTTGGCATAAGGGATGTTTCAAATGCACTGTATGTGGTATGACATTGAGTATGAAGAACTACAAAGGCTACGATAAAATGCCTTACTGTGAACCGTACGCGTTACAGTTTCTTTTTTTTGTTTTATTAATGTGCTTTCATTAATGGAGAATCTTTTTAGGCATTATCCTAAGACTGTAGCCTCCGTCGTAATGGATACACCAGAAATGAGGCGTGTTGCAGAGAATACAAAGAATCAAAGTCAGGTAAGTTGTATGACATCCAATCCTATCCGCTAGTAATCAATATCACACAACTGTTCGCGGGCGTAGTTGGCTGAAAGGAAGCATTGGTTCACAATAATGGGTCCGCGTTGGGGCGATTTTGTGTTATCTTCTGGGTTTTCCGAGGAAATCATCAAGGTCTGGCATCTTACAGCGCGATTGTTACAACACCGTGGATCCTTCGAGCAATTCAGCAAGTCACTTACGAACTCTGCAATCGTACGGAAAGGAGCAGATCGATTGAACTTCCCGACTCGTACAGCTCGCACTATTATGTGACTTAGTGCCCTGTACAAAACAAAAACTTAAATTTTTCTTGAAAAGGCTCATATTTTGGCTAACTTTTTTGCGAAACTTCAAGGTGTCCACGCGCATGCAGAACGATGGAGTCTAATAAACGCATACATGAGCGCAGTCGCAGATCGAACTTCGAGCACTTACTCTTACCCTACCTTTGTGAGTATAGTTATTTTAGGTTCAATATCACGCCGCCTATGAAAAAACTAAAGGAACTAAGATTGATGTGGCAGACGATCCCGAAATGGAGCGGCATAGAAAGAATATGCAGGTAGAAATCTAATCTGCTGTCATCACTAGTATTCCCATCTTGCATTTTTTTGAATATGGAAGCAGTTCCGTTGGAAATGTTCAGAATTTTCAACAAACTTTTTTCTTGACCACCACAAAAGGTGTGAGCCTCTGGAAATCTAGTTCAGACTTCCCTCAGAAACTTCTTGAAGGGGATAAAAATTTCACTAAACAGTATCTAAAGGAGACTAAGTGGAGCGCCAATGAGTATTTTCACCTTTGGATTTCTGCGGGCTTATTTTAGGAACTGGTTTGCATGCTATATCTCTACGACTATCGCCTGCATCGAATGACAAAGCTACCGCTGCTTTGAAACATGTGCAGGTCGTCCGGTGGAGGAATTATACTCCAGTTCGCTGCGGACGGTTGGGCGTCGAGCAGTATGAGTGTGTCACGCCGTCAAAGCCGTTCTCTGCCTTGTTGAAGCGCGTTGTTTGTTGAACAAAGAGTAGGTAGAAAACGAGTAATACGAACGAAATGATACAGTCTTGTCTTTTGCTCGCTTTAGCAACTGCTGAACAACGGTTTTGGCACCGCGCCAAACTCATCCCGTGGCACGTCCCTCCGTCCGCAAAGAACTAGCGCTGTAGATTTATTCCGAAAGTTGAAACCAACCCTAGATCCTGCGGTTAACTAAAATTCGCCGCAAAAATGCTTCAGTGCCCCTGAATGAAGTAGGAATTGGAACAGCGAATACCAAAAAGAATGAATGCGTTTTCCTTGCTACTAATTTAATGGTTGCAGGCACAGTCGCAGGTAGCCTATACAGGAGAACTTGACAAAAGGAAAAAAATGGAGGAGGTTCGTCCCACATTCGTGCCAGCCGAAGCTTCTGGTAAGTTTTCCTTTTCACTTATTTATCAGATGTGGAGCATATCTAACAGAGCAAACTTTGCTCAACGTAAAATGCCAGCGGGGGAGGCCAGTGAGAGTCAGATCTCATCATATTGCATTGTGTTAGAATCACTCAGACTAAAAACATCTCCCAACTGAAGGAAAGGTCAAAGAAACGCAGGGTCTATCAAGAAAACTGCTCTGTTCAGGCAAATCAAAAGAGGCAAAAGAGGAAAAAGACGATAAAGAGGCAGTAGAGGAAAAACAGGCAAAAGATGCAAAAGTGGCAGCAGCTCCGTCGAAAGGAGCTAAGACTGCAACAGCCAAAGCAACGGCCAAAGCAGGGGCCAAATGAATTTCACGAATACATATCTATATGCATATTCTTTGCAATACCCGGTTTTACGCTGCTTTCTGGTTATATTAGGCTTAAGATATTGTGATGATGCATTTAAATCTTGTAGATAGCTTCTTTTGCTTTAGTTTTTCGCTTTATTGCATGCTAGTCAGTCATTTTCACTAGTGGATGCTGTTATGGCGTCTGCGATTCTATGGTGAGCCCAGTTTTCGTTTGCTCATTTCTCTCACTGCTCAAATTGTCATGTTGCACGCCCATAAAGAGTTCTATTCTGTTTGGTGTTGCACATGACACATAGCCTGGAATTCGAGACGAAACACTTAAAGTCGACCTGACAATTTGGGTGGGAGAGCAGTGTGACATTCGAATTTTGGAGCAAAGTACAAGCGCTCTGATGATTATGCAGGATTTCTCGAAAAGCCACGAAATAGCTACTTTTCGGTATCACTCTTGTCTACAGTCCGCCCATGAACATGTAAGTCACAGTGTATGATGCAAAAATTGTACCTGATTACCTGGCGGATGGTCACTCATCATAAGGTACATTCCTGATCTGCAAGATGGAGTCGTGACATTTGAACATGGCAGGGGGGTTACTCGTGTTTCAGTCTGAGACAGCTGTCATCTTGTTCTATGTTGGACAAAGACATGATGACAACTATCGAAAATGAAAATATCTCACAATAACCTTGGCCGTCGCCATGTTCAATTCAAGTGCGCAGCCGCGCCTACCGCATTTCAGGAATGAGTGTAAGTTGCTTAGGTCCACCATCGATCAAAATGTGCCGCTTTCGGTTCGTAAAATTTCGCTGTGAGGACGCTAAGAGCTTGTGGCATAAGGTTGCTTCCACTGGTGGCGAGGCGTCTCGGATCACTTTACAATCGTGATTACTCCTGTGAAATCTAACTCCTGTGAGATCTGTGAGATGTGAGAAAGATGGGATCTGATCCTTATAGTGAAGGTGACTTCATAGGGAAAGGAACTAACATTGTTGTGACATCTATACTAGAAAACTCGTCCAGGCGCTCAATGTTTGCTGATCACAATACTCAAAATTAAGCGGTCTCAGGAGTGTTTTCGACGGCTTTTTCTGCTTTCTTTTTCACCTTTGCGCCATTTATCACCTCCAGTTTTGAGATTGAACACAATTACAACCATTTTGCCGTCGAACACTGTGCCTTTAAGTTTCGCAAAAACGAACCCGCACACACGCTGTGCATATCACAGGGAGACTTGCGAAAACAGTGAATCAGTGAAAATTAAATTGTCTATGTTTCATGCCTACATTAATCCGTAAAGCCCGCGAATTAGAGATATGCGCGTCACACCTTGTTTTTTTTCGAACATATCCTGAGGAAATGATGATTTCTTGCTGGTGATCAGTGTTTTCGTTAGGAGTGCGTCCTTTCCACCAGAATACTAAATTTCATTCAAAATGGAAACTGATTATCAAGGAAAGAACATGTGACAGATGAGGACATAGTCAATCACATTTAGCTTAACGTGAACGTGAAGCACCAGTGATACAAAAGGGCTTTCGAAATCAATTATTTCGATTGCAGTTTACCAGTCTAGTAGCTAATGACCGTAGCTGCATATCATAGAGAGATCTAATTGCGATGCATGACTTTTAGTTTTCGAATCTAATGGATCTGCTGTCGTGGTTTTACAAAGCTCTGACGCTGGGGGTGATTGTTAAGGCTACAGAAAACGAGACAGCTTAGATAAAAGTATGTGGAAAAATCTTAGGCCGTCATGAGCTATTTCAACGGTCTATGGTGCAAAAAAATGCTGAAATGAACTACGTAAAATCAATCGTTGGTTGTGATTTTCTCAGATACTAAATTAACTGCAGTACTCATCAATACAACTGGTTTTTATTTCATTTCCTTTTAGAGCGTCTGTACTGCAAAGTTTTTTTCTTTCTACTCCGCTCTATCGCTCATCAAGCTATTAACAACCGCTTACCGGGGAAGATTCGCCAACTTGCCGTGAAACTTCGAATATCGATAGGGTCTGGAATTCCATTCATAAATACGGAAAACCAAAGTGCTACCTTCATCTCGCAAGTAGGTTATGAGCTGTTAAAGTCTGCAATGGTCCGGTGCACGTGCATTACAATTATGGCACATAGTAATGTCCGCTCGATTACTCCACAAGAACAGTTGTAGCGCAGTGGTCAGTCTCTTAGTTGGGAAACAAACAACTGGGCTCGATTGCCGCGCAAGTTCAGAATTGCTCCATCACCTTTGAGAGCTCTGATCCTCATTTTTTATATCCTTCCAAATAAGCGCTATATAAGCGAGGGCAGATCGAGTTCTTGACTCGGCAGCCGTTAAACTGGAGGTAGCTGCACTCTAGCTGAGGCACGTTCATGGACTACAGCCTCTCGCCTGCAAAGGTATTTTCGACAATGTCGCTGATTGCAGTAGTAGCACGTCTGCGAGCGCTTCCATCTCACAACCATTTTTTTCTTCGATCGCACAAGATTTTTTATGAAAGGGATGAGGAATTGCGCCATGACATTTCGGTCAAAGTCTCGTTTCGGCTGGAACCCTGGCCTAGAACAAGAGGTCCTGAACACTGATACCACATCCGTTTGGCGTAAAAACGCTTGACGTCCATGCAACAGGCGCCCTGGTGGTCAATCCTCAAATTTGGGGGTGTAACCTGCTCATACCTCGCCTGTGAGGTGTACATAGCAGTTTTGGTTACCAACTTTGAAACATCATTTTTCACCCTATCGACTCACCTGAGTCTCTATTCGAAGTTCCATGGTAAGTTGACGGATCTCCTTTGTTAGTGTTCATAGCTGATGCTCACCAAACACTGCTGTACTGAAAATAGGCTCCTAGCTCTATTCTATAAGTAACTACTTTCCGAAGTAGATGCTTCCCTCACCAAGCTAGCGTTATAGTTTGTGACTCATTACTACTGGCGGAGCTTGCGGCCTGAGCCATCCAAGGCGACACGTGAACGACAGTTTTCTCGAGCTGCATGTTCGACCGTGCAGTTCGTAAAAATTGCGATCACGCGATTTTACAAGTTTTCGGTGGAGGACTTTATCAACACTTGTTCGTTCATCACCGAGGTCTGGGCCCTCTAAAGGCGCAGCTGACCTGAAACAATAAACGAAGGAAAAGAGAGCAAAGTCGTTGAATTGTCGAAATGAAGTGATGATTGAACAGAAGTGATGACCAACACCCTTACGCTAATTGCAAAATATCTAGTTCGCTGCGGATGAAGGGATGTCAGGCACTATGAGTGTGCCACGGCGCCAAACTCGTTCTCTGCCAGTTGTTGAAGCAGTTATGCGACAACAGTTGGTAGGGAACGAGTGATACGAACAACATGATGCACTGTTGTCACATGCTCGCTTAAACAACCGTGGAGAAGGGGTTTGGCACTGCGCCAGACTCTTCGCGCCTCACGCCCCTTCGTCCGTAGCGAACTAGTCTATAATCGACCGCGGAACCACACGGTCGTAATATCGCAGGTCGCAAACTACGAATGCTGCAGTATGCCGTAGCGTATAATATTAGTAGTAGAGTAGAGTTTTAATTGCACGTGGTTGTTATTACAGGACTTGGCAGAGTTGTTTGCTCACCATTACCAGAAAACGGTGTGTCTATTCCCGATTTTGGAAGTCATAACATCGCTCAACCGCATGGGCATCAGTCGACATTAATTTATTCGACTGATAACACCGCTGCAGGCATGTGAATTTTGTGAATAGCTGTTTTATTAGAGTTGCGTGTCTTCGCTGTGTATCTCGTCACATTTCAAAATTGTGTTCGGAGCAGTGTTGATTTCGAAGCTTCATTCAGTACTGCTTTTGTTGAGTAACCGCTGTTGTATTTGTGTTTTGTTTTTAGTTGCTGCAGCAAAGCTAAGTTTCAGCACAACAACCTCAACAACGTGTCGTAGGCAGTATCGCTGATTATGATCCCATGAATGGAAGTTGGGGTACTGCAGCGCAACCTGTATCGAGTGAAACAAACAGTAAGTTCGAGCACGCCTGAAACCATGGCTTACTTCGACTTTCTTTGATTAATAAGTTCCGCTACTGCGAATGAATCTTATGATTATCGTTTTAACAAAGCAGCTGTTGTCTGAAAATAGTTCTCGTCCGTTCAAAAACTGCTTATGAAAAGTGTAATGGGAACCGCGGGGTATACTGGCTGCATGCCACCACGTCATTTCACATGAAACTTAATTTACGTATTTTTGTTATACTGATCAAGCTTTTTTGGTTCTTCGAAATAGTGTGGAATTCAGCAAACACGTAGTGGCTAGCACTTCCTTTTCTGGTTAGCATGTGCTGGGTAGTTTTGTGACGGCGATTATGTGGCTTTTTAGTTAATTTGTTTCTACGTGGCTATGCTTATTTTACCTTCCGTGGTTCACAGCGTAAAGAATTCTGTATGGTCTCACAGAATCACTGCAGCGATGGGATCACATGAAAGCCTAGAAGATCTGCTATCAGAATGCGTTCATACTTTGCGGCAGCTTTTCGAGCGTTCGGAGCAACTTGGAAAGTATAGGTGTCGATCGTTACGAGCGCCCGCTAGCGTATTCAGCATCGGCGTTCTGTGTAGATATCGATTATTGCACGTAACGCTGGTGGACGCTCGAAGCGCTGCCGCAGAGTATGGACGCACTGGCGTGGTCGTGTGTTGTCCATCTCATCAACAACAGATCTTCTCGTGAACGCTACGCAGTCGTTGCTGTAGCGCGATCTCTTACTCTTCATTTTGGGCGTGACTTTGCAATTCCTTACTGGTAATTGATACCGCTGAAGCCCACAAATTCCGCAAAAAATTGACGGTGAACAAATACCTGCCAGGGCGTTATCTTATGGTACAGTAAACTACGTCCACACTTTCATTTTTGTGAGTAAATTTCGATAATAACGGAAAAGAATTCAAAAAGTGGACCACAATTATTTGAATGTATTTTGATTTTAGGCTCAGAATCCCGATACTGTCTCGATTTTACAGAGAGAAATAGTGGATACGGCGCTGCGAAGTCCCTGTCGCCAAGTGGAGCTGCTGGGTTCGCTGTGAAAGCAATCTACGACTACACCGCTGCAGATAAAGACGAAGTGAGGATCACAAATTGATGTTTTTGGGATGTTTCGAGGTTGTCAACGTTGAGAGGGGAAAATCCCCAAATTTGAATACTGGGGCAGTTCGGCGACCGGGGGGGGGGTGCATTTTGCACTTTTGTTACTTCCCTCGACGTCTCGGAACCGTTTCGGAGCTTCCAAGGGTTGACAGGTATTACCAAGTCGGCTCGATGGGCCTTAAGCAGCGTTCAGACTTCGCGACGGCAGCGCTTCGGTCGCGCGTTCGACGCGATCGATGCAGTCGAAAGCATGCGCATCGATCGCGTCGAACGCGCGACCGAAGCGCTGCCGTCGCGAAGTCTGAACGCTGCCTCAAAAGAGTTCACAGTTTCACCACAGAGAGAGAGACTTGCAAACTGAAACTAGTGAAGCAATAAAAGTGGCGAAGTGCCCCCCCCCGCTCCCCCAAAACACCGTCGCCGAACTGCGCCGAATTTCATCAGGGAAGTTGTGGGAAAAGTTTTCGGTACAGACAATCATTTTTTTTATTCAGGTGTCGTTTTTGGAAGGTGACGTCATTGTAAATTGTGAGAAAGTGGATGACGGATGGATGACCGGAACAGTTCAACGCACACTACAATGGGGTATGCTGCCTGCAAATTATGTTCAACCGCACAAGCTGCCTACTGGACTAGCCAGATTCAAATGAAGCCTTGCTCGCATTCTCTTTCCAGTTTGTCTCACTTTTAACATTTGAGAAAGTATGTATGTTGTACCACTCAGCTTTGAGCTCAATTTGATGTGTTGATATGTTGTTAGTTGCTTCCCTTTTTACTTACTGTCGTTCTCCCTTAGCTAGAATCTATTCACACAGAGCATTTTGTCACATTTAAGGGGCACTGGATGTTTGCAAACGTATAATATTTTCAAACTTGCTTGTTATACCGCTTTACCCATTGCTGCATACTGTTCCCATTTCAGATCCCAGTACCAGATCTTGACATATTTATTCTTTTCAGTTTAAATTCAAGGGCATACTCTTTATGCGCTGTAAATACATATTAGTCTAATTAAGTCGGGTTCATGAAAATGGTATACCACTATGACCCATTCGAGCCATTCTGAACTGTTGAATTACTTACCAAATTGCAAGCATAATTTTTCTCTGGTTTGCTGTCTCCCTGCAGCCTTTGCTGGTAGTGGGTGGTAATGCGCTTTGTGCCTCATTTATGTCGGTGTGTGATTCTAAATTTGATATATCTTTCCTTGATTTATCTACAAATATTCCTTCAGAGAACTCCTATTCCTGTATTTGTTCATAAAAGCGGTAAACATTTTTATTTATTGTTTTTTGCATGATTGCTGTGGTTGTATAGTTCCGACTAACTCACTCATTTAATCAGTTCCATACCATGTCGCTGAAAATACATGTAATAGAGTCGCTGTCTCGATTTGCAGCCGTCCCAGCTCCCAGCTTTATGTCTTCGTTTGATGACGAAGAGCGACGGGCGAAATACGCCAAGGCGCCCAAGTCGGCAAACCATGGAAAGGTAGGGCTTGAACTTTCTAGCCGTAGTCGTTAATGACTCGTAGAGAAGCTATGGTAATGGCTATTTCGTCAGCGAAAGGTTGACCGGTTTTCTATGCGAACAGTAAGAAACTGCGAACAGGGACTGTACAGAGAACTGGTCTGTGTGTGAACTACATCTTGCTCACAACTGTTAGAGCTCTCTCACACTTCACATGAGTGTTTTGAGCATACGCCAACGTTCTGAGCACTTCGAGCGACCACAAAGTATAGGTATCGATCCAGCGTTTTCAGTGTACACCAGCGAACGACTTGAACGACTTTCGATTTCCACAGAATAGGTCTTGTTATTCTGGAGAGGTCCATGCTTGTACTTTCCCAGTCCCTCTAAACGCCGGCGTTCACTACAAGAGCTAATGCAAAGTATGAACCGCTCTAGTGGTTGTGAGCTGGATAGTTGTGTAGAACTCAGCAGGGGTCGTACTTGTTTTCTTTATCACGCGTGCTGTATAAGAGCGCATTCAGACTTAATGATCGGATAGCTTAAGCGACTGGATCGCGCGACCACGACGGGGGGGGGGGCGGTTCACCGCCGTAATGGCAGAATTCATACAGGGCCGCGTTAACACTGCACTGTCTCAAATCCATTGCCTTATAGCGGTGCACCGTTTGGCGGTAGGAGCGGCTCTCGTCATGGTCGCTCGCGCGATTCAGACGCTCGACTCTTGGATGGCGCGCTGTGAACGATTTATTTGGGGAGTGTGAATATGCTCTAGCTCGTAGTTGGCGGCGTGGGAAAACTGCTGCTGGTATTTGGTGGGAGGTATTTAGTGATCCTACTTCGTTTAGCGGCAGTTTTGAAGAAAAAATTGGTTATAGGGTTGAGAGGGCGTGAAAGAGGGTCGCACTGAGGTTTAAAATTTAGCAAATAGTTCTCGCAACGTGATGATGTACACTGCTTGTGGGGCTCCGAGCCTTTTGCTTTTGTAGGGTGGATTACGTTGCGAGTAGACAAACAATAGAAACCAAAACTTTTTCGAGCAGTGAAGAGGACATCGTCTCGAGTTAGTTATTACGCCTTGGTTTTTACCTGAGCGCGAATAGTTAGCCTTTGTGGATCCAGTGGCTGATGAGAGTCTTTTAATGTTTGTGTTTGCCTTTAAGTCGAAAACGGTCGTTCTTAGTTGAGGATTCCTGATAATGCCGAATTTGGAGAGAAAAGGGGGAAATGTGTTGGCACATAGTGATGTTCTATATCAAGTCAGATAACAAAAAACTACCTTTTATTTCATCTGCCATTCAAAGCATGCCACCGAATGCGCCATCTTGTTGGTAGCTAACGAAGAGAATGGCAAACATAAGCTGTAATGGCTGCTTGGTAAGGGCACCAAAGATGAAGGAAAGAAAGTAGTGGCATATGAGTGGGAACGGCAGCAAATGAAAGAGGTGTGTAGCTAGGGCGACTGGTACTAAGTTCTCGGGGTAGTGTCCGTGAACGCGTCGCGGGTTTCATTTGATAGATTGTTAACCGCTGGCCATAGGACGGCCACTGGATTTCCAATAGGGGATTACGTTCCGCCTCATGGGTAAGGTAGTTCAATGGCGTGGACCACGGGAATGGGATGAGAATAGAGAACGATAAAGTGTCACAAATTTGTCGTCCAGGTGTATTTCAAAGTAGCGAGGCACAAGGCATAATGCAGTGGTTGAATGCCTTCCACTATGTAGTATTTGAAAACATGAAATGATGTGTTTTGTGTAATAGCGAGTGGTGCAGTAGCGTTGTAGAGCATGAGACCTGTCGAATCTCTTCATTTATATGAACCATTTGGTTTGTCTGCCTTACAGTGTTCATATAGAGGGTCGTGCAATATCTCCGGAAGGGTAGGAGAAAACGAAAACCAATATCAGGTTGTCCGGTCACACGGTTCTACACGTTTCGAGTGTTTCACTTTAAACGATCATAACTTTCTTAACACTCATCGGATTTAATCCAAATAAGCACCATTCGAATCAGCACACTTTTGCCAATGTGACAGCAGTCGAGAAATCCCATCAAAGAAAAAACTGGGTGGTCGAGAGTTCACGAAATCCACGAAGGCTTGCCTGGTCCTGATTGATGAAGTATTTTCCAGCAAGGAGTTCTGAAAATGTTTGAAAAGGTGATAGTCGATTGGCGAAAGGTCTGAAGAATATGGCGGTTGAGGTAGAACTTCAACCCCAATTCGTTCAATTTATGGATAGCGATTTGTGAAACGTGTGGGCGGAAGTTGCTCTTTTGACATGCTTCAAAAAGTCTCAGGAAAAGGAGGTTTATCAAGCAGTGGTGAAACGGCAATTATACCACCAGATAGCGCAAAAATTCTCTTAAGGATGTACCACTGAGACACAAAGGAGAGTGAGTTTTCAATAAGCAATGAATGTTCAAAAAATAAAACGTGCAGAACTTTCCGGAAACCTAATAAAATCAGGAAACTAGCTTAGCTTTAGCTCTTGGTATCAATCTATTCGATGTGTATGATGTCCTAACGCCCTCCTGTATGGCGCACTAGCAGGCGTAGGTGTGAACGGAATTTAGCGCACTTTGGAGATGGAGGGAAAGTGATGGCTGCCGCGGCGGCCATCTGTTTATACATAAACCTCTTTCTCAAGTGGCGATGTCGTATGATGGCATATCGCTTCGTATTTCTGTCAATCGGAGAGCTGCCCATTGGTACGACAAGAGGGGTGGGGAGGTGTGGATGAAATCGATCCTCAACAAAACTGTTCGGATAGTTCCACTCTCGGTATCAATCGGAATGGCGTTGTGATTATACA